TCACTGAGTCAGGCTTTGATGTCCCGAAATTGGATTTACAGAGGGCGATGTGTGACGTGACCCCCTCAATTGTCTTCTTTCTGTGTGCACACATGTGCGTGCACACACACCACATACATGTACATGTGCATATGCATTCCCACTGCACACACATAGAATTTTTATCTCTTTGCAATCACATAGGAAGTACTGCTCTCCAATTTATCCAAACTCTGTTATACTTGAGTTCCAATTACTCCTGGACCTCTGCAAGTGTTGTTATTTGCTCTGTCACTTAGGCTGGAGTGCAGTGGTATGATCTCAGCTCACTGCAACCTCCGCCTCGCAGGGTCAAGTGATTCTCCTGCCTCAGCCTCCCGAATAGCTAGGATTATAGGTGCCTGCCACCACGCCTGGCTATTTTTGTATCTTTAGTGGAGATGGCGTTTTGCCATGTTGATCAGGCTGGTCTTGAACTCCTGACCTCAAGTGATCCGCCTGCCTTGGCCTCCCAAAGTGCTGGGATTATAGGGGTGAGCCACCACACCTGGCTGCAAGCATTGCTTGTAGAGCAGTGGCTTCTAAGTGCTGGTCCTTGGGCAGTGCTGGGCTTGTGGTCTGTCTAGCAGTCACTCCAGGAGCTGGTGGAAAATGGAGATCTCTTACTATAGTAGCGTTGGTCACAGTAAATGATTCTAATGTGTCTGCTGATAAGGGAATCTACTGCACCGTATTCAAATGACAGGATCCTCCAGCAGTCAGAATAAATGGAGCAGAGTGGGGTTCAGCCAAGGAAGGCTGTGGGCTGGCTCTAACCTCAAGTCCGTGTTTGGATAGGTCCCAGGCAAAGAAGGGTTTTCACATTTTTAAAGGGTGGTACAAAAGACAGAAACAAACAAACAAACAAAAATAAAGATGAATATATGACAGAGACTAATATGGCCCACAAAGCCATCTGGCCCTTTACAGAAAAAGTTTGCTGAGCGCTGAATTAGAGCAACATGGATGGACCTTGTGAATGTAACACAGGGAGGAAGAAAAGTTGTAGAATGGTATGCTCAATATAATATGAATTACAGGAGGTTTTACAAACTGCACAAAATAGAACTGTATGTGTTATGCGTGAATGTGAGTGTTTGTGTGTAGTAAAAGTATAAAAACATCTGGACATGCACATGAATAGCTAATTCATGGTAACTATTGTTTCTGAGGAAAGAGAACAGAAAATAAAATTGGGCAGAGAAACATAGGCAATTTTACCTTTGCCTGTAATATTTTACCTTTTGAAGAAAAAGAAAGTAAGGGGCCAGGTGTGGTGGCTCAAACCTGTAATTCTAGCACTTTGGCAGGCTGAGGCAGGCAGATCACCTGAGGTCAGGGGTTGGAGACCAGCCTGGCCAACATGGTGAAACCTCATCTCTATTAAAAATATAAAAATTAGCTGGGCGCAGTGACACTTGCCTGTAATTCTAGCTACCTGGGAGGCTGACGCAGGACAAACACTTGAACCCAGGAGGTGGAGGTTGCAATAAGCTGAGATCGTGCCACTGTACTTCAGCCTGGGCGACAGGGTGAGACGCTGTCTCAAATAAATAAACAAACAAATAAACAGAAAAGAAAGATGACGGAAAAAAAAAGAACAAAAGAAAAGAGGGAGAAATACATGTTTCCTTTCATTTAGCCATCTGTCTGTCCATGCGTCCGTTCACTTCTATTTCCCAACCCCCTACTCCCCAACCTCAAGTCATAATCCAGACCACAAATGAAAGTTTCTAGGGCACTGAGCCCAGAAATTAGCATTTTAAAAATGTTTCCTAAGTGGTTCTGATGTGCAACAGCATTTAGGAACTACCAGTGCAATTAACACGCTGCTCTTATCACACAGCGGCAAGTGTGTACGGCAAGCCAACAAGAAGCTCAGGCCAAATTTAGTGTCAGTCAGCTCCATCCCCAACTCTTCCTAGTTGGTTTCTCTTCCTTGTCAAGTTTAACTTCCTGTCTTGTTCACGTTTTAATTCTGTAAGCTTCTGAAACACTTTTTGGAAAGTTGGTGCTATAGAAATTCTCATATTGGATGTGTTCTGTCATCTCACTGTACCCTCCTCCCTGGAGAAGGAAACCTGGCACCATCAGTAGCAAACATCTTCACATTTATATTCTTAAATTTGCCCTCCTCCACCTGTTTCCTATTGAGTTGTGAACTGAAGGAACCAGCACATGTTTAGGGTGTGGACAAGATTGGAGGACACTGTTAGAATGTCCAGGAGCCTGTACCTAAATCTTGTAGTCACACCAGGATGGTCCTGATTTCCCAGCATCTGTGGACCATCTGGAGAGGCTTTAAAACGGACAAATGTCTGAGTTGCCCTTCCAGTCATAGGGTAGGGCCCGGGTATGGGTAGCTATACTGAAAAGTTCCCCAGGTGCTTCTATTGTGCAGTCAGACTTGAGATCCACCACCATCTCCCCAGCTGATGCTATACAAGAGTGACTTGCAGGTTGCTGGTGATGACTCAGCAAACCAGGCCCCAGACAGTACACTCTCACAAAGGGAACATTCCTACACTCTAGAAATCTAGGTCTAGGATATCTGTCAGCAAAGTAAGGGGGCAAACAAGCATAACGTGCTGCTATAAATTCATGGTATCTGCTATGGTATGGTGCTAATGTTCACTTAACCTCGATTATCTCACTGGCTTTCTAACTTTCTCTTCTGCAAAGAGAGAGAGAAAATAGAAATCAGGAGGCTGCCCCTGGGAGGCTTCTCCTGAGTCTTTTCTGTAAAGTAGAGACAATTTCAGATGAAGGGATAGAGATGGGACTGGGGGCTGAGAAGAAATTAGGAAACCTTGTCAAAGGGCAAATAATTCGACTGTGCAGCAATTGGGTTGAACGTTGAGCAGGGGTGGTCCAGAGGAGATCGGATACTGTCTTAGTCCGTTCAGGCTACTGTAACAAAATACTATAAACTGGGTGGTTAGTAGTATCTGCTGAAGTTTGTGCCCCTCCAAATGTCATATGCTGAAACCTGATCCCCAAGGTGATGGTATTAGGAGGGTGGGCCTTTGGGAAATCAGTAGGTCAGGAAGTCAGAGTCCTCATGGATGGGATGGGATGAGTGCCTTTATAAAAGAGGCCTCAGAGAGCTGCCTTGCCTCTCCCCATCGTGTGAAAATTCAGGGAGAAGCTGCCATATGTGAACCAAAATGTAGGCTTTCACTAGACAATGAATCTGCCAGCATCTTGTTCTTGGACTTCTCAGCCTCCAGAACGATCAGCAATACATTTCTGTTATTTATAAGCCACCCAGTTTATAGTATTTTGTTATAGTAGCCTGAACGGACTAAGACAGCATCCAATCTCCTCTGGACCACCCCTGCTCAACGTTCAGCCCAATTGCTGTACAGTCAAATTATTTGCCCTTTGACAAGGTTTCCTAATTTCTTCCCAGCCCCCAGTCCCATCTCTATCCCTTCATCTGAAATTGTCTCTACTTTACAGAAAAGACTCAGGAGAAGCCTCCCAGGGGCAGTCTCCTGATTTCTATTTTCTCTCTCTCTTTGCAGAAGAGAAAGTTAGAAAGCCAGTGAGATAATCGAGGTTAAGTGAACATTAGCACCTGAGACAGGAGGGTGGAGGCAGGTATGGATGGAAAGTGTTGGACCCTTAGACTCTGTTGGGCTTTGCAGTGGGAAGATTGGGAAGGAGACATGGAGATGATGGTGATGATGATGATGGTGGTACAGTCATCAGAGGCAAGTCAGGCAGAGGGGCAGGTCAGCAGGGGAAGATGATACGTTCGCTTTCAGAAATGTCCAGTCTGAAGGGCTAGTGAGATGCTATAATGGCTTTTTCTTTCTTTCTTTCTTTCTTTTTTTTTTTTTTTGAGACAGAGTCTCGCTCTGTCACCCAGGTTGGAGTGCAATGGCACGATCTCCGCTCACTGCAACCTCCGCCTCCCGGGTTCAAGCAATTCTGCTGCCTCAGCCTCCCGAGTAGCTGGGACTACAGGCGCATGGCACCATGCCTGGCTAATTTTTGTATTTTTAGTAGACACGAGCTTTCACCATGTTCACCAGGCTGGTCTTGAACTCCTGACCTCAAATGATCCACCTACCTTGACCTCCCAAAGTGGTGGGATTATAGGTGTGAGCCACCGTGCCCAGTCCTTCTTTTTCCTTCTACTCACAGGACTCTGGTCTTGCACAGAGCTTTATACACATGAATGTCCCATGTTGGACTATATGATTTCCTGGCAGCTCATCACTGTCACTAGGGTATAAAACCTTCTCTTTTCTTTTTCTGCCAATTTCCCAACTTCCTAATTTGCAATTACACCAATACCTTCTCAAAAGGTAAATAGCAAGGCCCAAATGGCTTTTGGATGGTAACAGTTATATATGAATAACTGCTAAAGTTAAAATTGGACTAGTATTTCATAAATAAGGAATATCTGACACATGTATTTATTCATTTTATCCTCACATCTATATTACTTGGCATAATAACTCATTTGTTTAAAACAACGTTTCATTATATTATAGTCATTATTACTAGCCAGTGAAAAAACAGTGTGAATTATGCATTGATCATTTTCCCTGCAGCCCAACCTCCATCCATAAATTCTCATGACTATTCTCAGAAAGTCTCATCATATCTGTTTTAACCTTGCAAAAGATTATTCCGCATAACGTAGAGAGAAACAGGCCTCTGATAGACCAGTTAACTAATCTGGGTGCATTTTCATTAGCTCAAGTTGAGTGGCAGCTGGTTTGCAGGCTACCAATGAACACCTTTGCACAATTCTTCAGACTGGCTGGAAGGGATTGTTAAGATGCCTTTAAACATTAGTGGGAGCACTTCTACATATAACATGTTCTGTCATACAGACATACAGTAAAGATGAATGATTCTTCTGGGATACATTTTCTTGGAAAGGTATATGGAAAAATGCTGGCTTCATGAACCCCATGAAGTTACAATTTCCTACTTGTGCATGCACTGGAGTTACGCCAACTTACAAGCTAAGCTGAAGAGGCTGAGGAGCAGGAGTGAGGGCAGGCTGAAGTGCAGGGCCCCGGCCGCGTTGCAGTCCACTTTGGAATTCCTGCAGGAGCACACTTGTACCCTGAGATCTGTGATGTTCGTCATGGGTGGTTTCCCTGAATCTGTCACCATGATGGGCAGGTTGTAGTTTGCTTTGTTCAGATTTTGAAGAAGGCTTACCAGGGCGTGAGTATCTGTAAAGGCAAGGAGGGTCCTGGTGAGAGTGGATGAGACTTTTTCCAATAAAAGAGTGAGGTTTTGGTGACTAAAATCACACCAAACAGGTGCTGCATTTTCATTTACAATCGTGGGAATGTTTAAATTTAAATTTATTAACATCAACTGAAAATACCAGTTCAGATCCTCAGTGGCACCTCCCACATTCCAAGCGCCCAGAAGCCACACATGGCTGGTGGCTCCTGTAATGAACAGCACAGAGACAGAGTGCTTCCATCACCAGAGTTCGGTGCCTCAGCGCCATCATAATCAATTTCAAGGAGAGCTCCTTTCATGAAGATGATTGATTACCAAGAACTCCTCCCTGCAAATTTATTACATGAAAAAGCCATCTTGACAAAGACTGCGTTCCACATCTAGAAAGCTGAGGTGAAAATCCACCTGCTCTCAATGTGGGCAGGACCCTGATGTGTTATCATGGAGATGGGTTCCATAGCCTACGTTTTTTGTCTTCAGTTTTTTTTTTTTTTTTTTTTTTTGAGACAGGGTCTCACTCTGTTGCCCAGCCTGCAGTGCAGTGGTGTGATCTCAGCTCATTGCAACCTCCACTTCCTGAGTTCAAACGATTCTCCTGCCTCAGCCTCCTGAGTAACTGGAATTATAGGCACACACTACCACGCCCCGCTAAGTTTTGTATTTTTAGTAGTGATGGGGTTTCACCATATTGGCCAGGCTGGTCTCAAACTCCTGATCTCAGGTGATCTGCCTGCCTCAGCCTCCCAAAATGCTGGGATTACAGGCATGAGCCACTGTGTTCAGCCTTGTTTTTGGTTTTTAATCAACCCTCAGTCCACAGCTCTAGATTTGGGTGGAAACTCGCAACATAGACACTGGATCTTTAAGCTTCCCCTCCACTTCCCTAACGTCATATGCGTTGGTGATAGCCACGATCACCCAGGCCCTTGGGAGACACTTGGCAGTGGCTGTACCAGCTGGCCTATTCTTTAACCTTGGGATAAAGTCACTGACATGATTAGGGGCATACATATTTTTGAGTACCCCTTTCTGGGAATAAACAGGGCTAAATATTCAGAAAAAAAAGTCTGAGACAACAACATCATTTAGAAGGCATTTTTTTTCCATTAGGTAAAACCAGGAGAAAAAAACAAGAGTGTAATGACAGGAAAATAAAAATAGATGAAGCATGATCATTACTAGAAGGTGACAGCAGCAGCAATGACTAATGTGATGGTCACCTAGCGAGATGGCAGATTAAATCAAACGGCATTTTCCCATCTTCCTTGAGCAGAGGAGAAACTCTCTCTCTCTCTTTTTTTAAAATTTAAGTTCCGGGGTACATGTGCAGGATGTGCAGGCTTGTTACGTAGGTAAACGTGTGCCATGGTGGTTTGCTGCACCTGTCAACCCATCACCTAGGTATTAAGCCCAGCATGCATTGACTATTTATCCTGATGTTCACCCCCTCCACCACCTCCCACCAAAAGAAACTCTTGAATGAGAAAGTTCCGATTGGAAAGATTTGGAGATGTTTATTCAAATTGGCCACAGCCATAAAAACTAGCAAATAAAACACTAACCCCTCAAACAAGAGAAGGGCTGTTTTAATTAAAAATAATCAGTGTAACAGAATTCATTCTTCAAAAAGCAATAAAATAGACAAACAGGCAAATAGAATCAATAACAAGCAAAAGGCACTAATAAAATAAGATATGAGATAGGGCTATAACAATAGATAGGAGATTTTTAAATAGAAAATGTTATGCACAATTGTACATTAGGCAAAATCTAATGAAATGGGTAATTCTTTGTCTCCCTCAAAACTTCTACCACCTATATAAGAAGTGGGAACCCTGACTGGGTCAACAGCAGGATAAGTATATTATTGAAGACATTGTATCTAATGCCTTTTTGTTTGTTTTTTCTTTTACTTTATTGGAAGACAAGGTGAACTTAGTAGTTAGTTTACATTTGGGGAAGAAGGTGGATGAGATTGTGGATATAAGGATACTCCATGTTAATACATTGGTGTTTCAGTCTTAATAAGGCAAGTGATAGAAGCTGGGTTAAGTTTTGAATTCCACCTGCCTATGTGGAAGGACCGGTGGAAGGAGACATTGCTTGCAAGTTTCATAAAGGAGAAAGAAGATGCATGGAAGAAGACATCAAAGTCAATGATGGCCAAGGATTTGAAAGAAAAGTCAAGGTCATCATTAGACCAAGTCAAGTTTGAGGCAGTCTGCAGCATACTCTGGAAGGTTGGAGGTTGAAGACTATAAAGATTCTTATCCTAGTGCTTCTCTTTCCTTTAGTCTTTTATGACGGCAAATACACCATGAAAAGTCTCTCCAGTGCGCTGGTGAAAGTTAATGTTAACACAGTTCTCTGTCTCTGAGATTGGACAGACAGCTGAGCCAAGAGACAGCTGGGGAGAAGCAGAAACTGCTGAGACTGGGCAGGTTGGCCAATATTCTTCGTAAGCTAGTTACAAAGAAAGAATCTGTGGAGTTTAATTAAAAGAGAAAGAGGAAGAACAAAGAATCACAGTCTCGTTGCTGGGAACTCTGGGATGGCAGAAACTACAGATTAGTTAAGAGAAAGTTCACTGTTGGGTGATGGGGACACTTAAAGCCTAGATTTCACCACTATGCAATCAACGTATGTATATAACAAACCTGCAGTTGTGCCCCCTAAATATATTAAAATTTTAAAGAGAGAATATTGGAGTTACAGTATGTAGCAGACAGGTTAGGATATACAACACACGGTGTACAGTACAGAAAACATCAGAGAGGAAGCAGAAGAGAAAACGTCTATGTTTGAAACAGATAAATTGCATTTGTTTGTTGGTGGGAAAATTGTCCGTATTTATAATAAGCCAATAACTTAAAATGAACCAAATGAGAATACATGAGAGAATAGTAGAGAAAGAGCATTTTGGGAAGAGAAACTAAACGGAAAGCTGGAAGAACAGGGAGAAATGCTTTAGCTAGACTTACTGTTGATCTTGGAGATCTTCCAGACTTTATCAGGAACAGCTTGTTTGTGGATTTCAAATTTGAAAGGATCTGTATTCGGGTGAAGATCCTTATCTGATGCTCCCAAAATGACTACACTGAGGTTTTTGGCATCATCACAGACTTCAGCTACTGTGGGGTAAATGAAGGGGGCATTGTCGTTCACGTCCTCCAGGGTTATCAGCAAAGTCCCAGTGCCCGTAGCAGGAGGGTTGCCTGTGGGAAAAAGGGAAGATGTTGGCATGCAACTGGTATATGCGAGAGCAATTTACCATAGTACTTTTTACATTGTAAACTTACCTTGCACTTATCTTATTTTTTGAGACAGGGTCTCACTCTATCACCCAGACTGGAATGCAGTGGTGTGATCAAGGCTCACTGCAGCCACAACCTCCTGGGCTCAAGCAATTCTCACCTCAGTATCCCAAGTAACTGGGACCACAGGCGCACACCACCACACCCGGCTTAGCGTTTGCATCTCAGAGGATACTTTTTGTATTTTTTGTAGAAATGGAGTCTCACTATGTTGCCCAGGCTGATTTCAAACTCCTGGCCTCAAGCAATTCTCCTGCCTCAGACACCCAAAATGTTGTGATCACAGGCGTAAGTCACCATGCCCAGCCCATTTCTCAGTTATTATTAATAGTTGCAAACAAGATTAACAATAACAGGTTTTTTTGGGTACAAAGTTTAGTGGTTTACAAACCCATTTACCATATATAAGACTTTTTTTTTTTTTTTTTTTTTGAGATGGAGTCTCACCCTGTCACCCAGGCTGGAGTACAATGGTGCAATCTCACTGCAACCTCCGCCTCCTGGGTTCAGGCGATTCCCCAGCCTCAGCCTCCTGAGTAGGTGGGACTACAGGTGCCCACCATCATGCCTGGCTAATTTTTTGTATTTTTAGTAGAGATGGGGTTTCGCTATGTTGGCCAGGCTGGTCTCAAACTCCTGACCTCGTAATCTGCCTGCTTCGGCCTCCCAAAGTGCTGGGATTACAGGCGTGAGCCACTGCGCCTGGCCTTAAGACTATTGATTGAAGTTCTTTAGGCTTAATACTTTACCCTTAGAATACCAAGCTTCTGACACACTAAAAAGTCATTCTCACACACTGAAATCTATTCAAAGAATGGAGATATGGAGATAAATATGACTTTTCCTCATTTACCAAATTAAATCTTTTACGTAAGTAGCCAGGTATTCACACATGTTGGTGGTAGGGGGAGGATGGAGTCTCCATGAGAGATGAGCACGGTTTCCCTGCTGTAGCTGTCCTCTAACTAGGGAGCTGACTAAAGAGGGAAAGATTTAATCTGAGAGATTTTCTTCTGGGGCTGAAAAAGAGTCTCAGATGGCCGATGGTGCCACTGGGGGCTGGGATGGCTGACCCTGCTGGACAGGACAGATTTAGGAAGGTGGGTTAGTGATGAGAAATGAGATCAGCAGCTGGCTACAGGGGCACAGAAGCAATCATCATTCAACCTTTGGGCCTTATTTTTAAAGCCTTGTTTTTTTCCTAATATTTCAGCTACTTCCTGAAATGTTTTTCATTTTAGGAAATACTATTTTAAGATAATGGCCCTCATAATCACCAGTCTAATAATGTCTTTCTTTTCTTTTTTTTTTTTTTTTTGAGACAGAGTCTTGCTCTATCGCCCAGGCTGGA